CCTTGCCAGTTTGCCTACCGGAAGTCTATCGGCAACCCTAGGCTCTTCTTTACAGACAAGGACAGGTGAGGCAGCATGGCCTGTCAGCCATGAAGGAGGGCCATCAAGAAGTTAAGCAATACAATTTCGCTAGCAAATGTCATCGATACGTCTCGGGTCAGCTTCCCGTTGCAGAGGGCAACTGCGCTTTATCAGGAGTTTACGATCATCTGCAATGGCTAGACTCTTGTGGACTAGGCTCATACATGATTGCCACAGAATTGGCCAACTACCAAAAAGTATAGTCTTATTTCCTTAAGCCACGCATCCAGTGCGTGTAAACGAGACAGCGGCATGCATACTACTTTTGTGAGTAGTAGTAGTAGTAGTAGTAGTTTATGACCAGAATGAAATTGGTATAGTCTTTATTTTAAACTTTAGTCAAAGCTTGACATTGGAGATTATCCTCATTACACTGGTGGAAATCGTCGAGCCGATTACATCTTCCTCGGTTGCCGTCACGAAAGGACCAAGCTGCGAAAACACGATCCCAACGATCCAATACACAACTAGAATACAGGCTACACCTCCATTCATAGCCAGTCGGTTCGAAACTGAAATCACATGAATGACTAAGGCCAATGTCGCCCCGCCTTTCGTATAGACTCGAAGATTAATGGAATAAAAAACAGACGAATTTTGTATTAGTGTATGCCCAAAGCAGGTGGGACTTCGCTTGTACTAAATCATTTTTTCGAAAAATATATATTCATTTATGTGGCAAAGAATAAGAGACCAAAAGAACCTGAAGACAGTTTCTCGTTATAAATGTCATGTTAGCAGTATTTATAGGCTTGATGATGACGTCCCTTAGTTTGGTCACGGCTTTATCAGAGCTGAGTTTACAGACTGCTACTGTCATCCGATGCTTTCTAGCATTCGGTAAATGTCAGCAGACAGAAAAGCATACATCACGGAGGTTCAATGACATACCACAAACATCAGAAATTCTTGTATCCGAGGCGTGGAAGGGGAGTATAAGTAAAGCGACATTTCAACAAAAAAGTCACCCACGACTTAATCTCAAAACATTCAGTTTCAAAGAATTTGGAATCTGCAGTCTGAGAGCAACAAAATCGGCAACAAATGTCTTGGCTAGACTGTTGTGTATGGATGAAATACAGGCTTGAAATCACATTCATCAAATTATACCTTCTTAAATAAATTAATTTTTTTACCGAAGATATGAAGACCAAGATGGTGTGGCCTTTTGTGTGGTCGCAGTCTACTTACGTTGTATAGAAGTTGTTTGACTTTGTTTTCGCAACTTGGTCATATTGGTAGGAAGACTGATAGAAACGCACCTT